TCGTGTCCCGGACCCAGTGGCTTAAACTCAGGCCGGGCGCGTGTGCGTGCGTGCCCAAGATCCCCAGAGGAGAATGGAGGAGAAGGGATTGTGGCGTGTCCATCCCCCCTGGGGGGTGATTTCTCGCTTTCTATCTCTGTGTCTCTCTCTGTCTGGCGAGCGCACGCGCCCTATAGAGAAAACCTTTCAAAAAAAATCATTTAAAAAAACAAAATTCACTTTTTATAGTAAATAATGTAAAAAAAAAAAGAGGCAAAATACACCATGAAATTGATTTTAAATTTGAGTTTAGATTTACTTCCAAAATACTTCAAATGCGGACAGAGAGGCGGGGCGGGGGAAGCTGGACACCGAGGTTTGCATTCCGGTCTGGCCCCGCCAGGAGCTCGCTGAGCCCTTCCCTCCATGACCGAACCCCTGGAGGCCGGCGTTCTCACCTGTCAGAAGGGACCGGGCTGGAAGCACCGCTCCATTCAGGAACAGGTTTACTGACATGGACTTGGTGGGAATCGGCGTCCCTATCCTTCACACCCCTCCATCTTTCCTTCCCCTCTGTAACGGCCGACTAGGTGCAGGAGGTAACCAGAAGGGCCCACTGGCTCCCTCTCCGCGTCCTGGGGGCCGCCAAACACCTAGTCAAAGGCCTGCGCCCACGGGGCCGCCATCTTCCCCCATTGGCCCGACCCCAACCGCCACCCGCGGGCACCAGGTGACGCGGACCTCACCTCTCCTCGCAGTCTTTGCATTTCACCAGCAAGGGGACGAGCTGCTGGAACAGAACTTGGCTCATGTCGGCCCGCTGCCCCGGCGGGTGTGCGGGACAATCCAACAGGCGAGGCCCTCGGTACTAGCCCGAAAAGCGTCAGGGTCCAGATAGAGTTTGAGTTTGGCGCTCGGCTGGCGCGGAGTAGGCGGGGAGAGGAACGTACAGCAGACCAAGAAGTTTTGAGCTTCGCCAGCCACCGTCCGCTTTTTCCGGTTTTGGGGAGGATGGGACTCGGGCAGTTACGGGACTTCCGGGCATAAACCTGTGTGGCAGGACTCGAAGCAGCCATATTTATTAAGGGAAAGGGACCCGAAGAAAGCTGACAACTTTTCCTCCGGTCGCCGCCCGATGCGAGTCACTTGAGCGGCTCGGGGTTATGGCGGCTTTTGCGCCGATGCCGCAGGCGACTGGTATTCCAGCTGAAAATAGATGCAATTACTATGTGGAAAAGAAGAAGCGGTTCTGCAGGATGGTGGTGGCTGCGGGGAAAAAGGTTTGTGGTGAACAGCTGGCGCGGCGGAGGTCTGGTATCGCCCTACCCTCCCGAGAGTCGGAAATGAGTTTCCTGTCCCGCCGGTGCTGGAAACCGGCCCCTCCCCTCTTTGACAGATTTCTGCTTCTGTCCCCTGGATTCTTTAGCTTTCACGTTAAAAAACAAAAACAAAAACGCAGTTCTGCCCTCCTGGCGGAGCGGCGATGAGCCTTCGTGACGAGCAACGTTTCTTTCACTCAGCCCGCAATGACCCGTTTATGTCGATCCTAACTCGTGGTGATTCTCGATTTTAGTTTTACCTCTCACTGCTGCTGCTTAGGCTCCAACCCCTCAGTCTTCCCGAAGGGAAATGGTAGTTTAGATAAAGAAGTGATTGAAGTTCTAAAATTTTTACTAATTGTGTACGAACTATTGTTTCGTGAACGATAATCACTCGTCATGAATGCGGCTGAAAGAAACTTTCTTTAAAAGTTTGTTTAGGTTAACTGTCTTTAAAAAGCAACTTATAACTATAATACTTTGCTGGAATGGGGAAGGAAAGATGTAAAAATGTGTAAGAACTTTCTTTTAAAATTCAGAACAGAACACATAGAATTTTGTTAGCTATAGTAGTTATACATATTGTTCTGTAAGCAATGTATATTTGTATTTGTGTACGTTACTTTGTTTTTGTTCCTTGTTTATTTATTTATTTATTTATTTTTAGGTTTTTGCCATAGGGTACCTGTGCTTGCCAGAGAGAGAGGGAGAGAAAATGGGAAATCACCCCCCACCCCTCACACACACACACACACACACACACACACAATCCCTTCTGCTATATTCTCTCAGAATTTTGGGCTCCCAAGCACACATGCCTGGTGTGATTTTCAAGCGATTGAGTCTGGGACTCTAAATGTGGTCATGTGGGACTCTTAGAGCCTTAACCACCATTCCACCTACTAGTCCATTATTCTGGGATTTTTATTTAATAATCATTTAATAGTGTTGGATAGGATTAGAAAGATGAACCAGACCAACATCTGGACTCATGCTCTCTGCACGTCTGATATTATTTGCATTATTTTTTTTCTCAACCAGTTTTTCCTTCTAAGCAATACCCATGCAGATCAGTTCCCGGAGCCTCTTCATCTACCATTGTACATTCTAGCCATAGCCCACTTCCTGTTCAAGCTGGTATTTACTTAGATAGAGTGAAGCATACTGAAAAAAGACGTGTTTCTTTTGGAATATGGGAGATGCAACTTAATAGAACTCTGAAGTTTATCCACAGTTGGTTCTGAGGGGAAATCAACAAACATCCCTTACTTTAAGAATGAGATTTATGGTAAAAAATATTTTGTTTTCACTCAGTTACAAGGCCTAGACATCACATTATTCAGAAATCTAGAAGTTGGCTGCAGATGGTGATAATAGTGGAATATGAATAAATCTTTACAAATTGACTGGTATCCCTAGAGAGAAATTATACATGGCTATTAGTCCCTTGAAAAAAGACTGTAAAACACAAAGTGGAAACACTTTCTGTGGCTATTGTTTGGTTTTGAATTATAGCCATCCTCCTTATTCTGTATTATGTAATTAGATGTTGTGTTTTCTCTTTTTTAAGTGTCATATGCAAGGCATTTTTTAAAGTTCATGGAAAATGCATGTTATAAGAAATGTGCATAAACTTCAAAATTTTTAAGTGCTTATTTCTTTTTTTCCATGAGGAAGAGAAAAAGAGACAGGCATCTAACAGGTTCCCCATGCTATGATTCACCCTCATCCTCAGCCAACAGGGGATCATAAGCACATGTGTGCTTGGCATGTTTTTGAACCTTTCCAGACATGAACCTGAAATTTCCCTATGGATCAGCCTCATAGAATATTGCATTACCACTGTGCTACCACCCAGCCCCCACTTTCAGAATAAACTTATATTCTAATTATGTTTTTCCATGGACTTTTTGAAGTCCCCTGATATAGCTGTGATGATACTGCTTATGCTCATTTTTACCCAGTGATTTTCAACTGGAGTTGATTTTGTCACAGAGCAGATATTTAGCAATGTCTGAAGATATTTTGGTTATCACAACCAGGGAACATTATTAGTATCTAATGGATAGATAAACCTCCTTCAAAGGAAAGGACAGCCCCCCACAGCCTCCCTCAAAAGAATTACTGAACTCAAAAGGTCAGCAATACAGGGCCAAAAACTCAGTTGCTAAATCCAAATCATTGCAGTTTTAAAAAGTGTATTTCTTGGGATCAGCAGATGGCGTGATGGCTATGTTGCTGGACTCCCATGTAGTCAACCACGGTTTGAGTCCTGGACCTGGTGGCTTAAACTCACACTTAGCATGTGTGCGTGTGTGCCCAAGATCCCAAGAGGAGAATGGAGGAGAAGAGATTGCAGCAGGGCCATCCCCCCCACCCCCGGGGGGTAGGGAGTGATTTCTCGCTTTCTGTCTTCTGTGTTTCTGGTGAGCACACACGCCCTATAGCAAAACCCCTTCCGAAGAAGAAAGTGTATTTCTGTATTTCATGAGTGAAAGAGAAAGGAGAGACAGAGAGCTAGTACCCCCAACAGGGTCTTGACCTCCCAGCTTCAGCCAGCCGGGATCATGGGCATGTATCAACTGGCATACTCGGGAGATCTCTGTGAAGCAGTAATCTTCCTATGTGGGTATACCTGAAAGAGCATTGCATTTACTACTGTGCTACCATCTGGCCTCCCAAATTATAAATTTTGGAAGTGCTTTTTCTTTCTTGCTCTGTGGTTAGTCTTTGGAGATTAGAATAGGATCTTCTCTTACATGGACGTTAGGTTTTGGTTTTGGTTTGGTTTTGGAGGTTAGATTTTAAAGTCAGCAAATAAGGAAAATAACGTACAGTATTTTAAAAAATATATTGAAAATGTCTTAGCTTTCTCATAAAATTAAGGGTGCATAGTTTTGTGGATATGCTAAGAGGCATATCAGAACTGAAATAGATAGGAAAATTAATAATAATAAGAGCAAGCAACTTGCATGTACTTTGTGGCCAGCACTGTGATAAGCAGTTTTTCTAAAAACTATCAGCTCAGCTCACTTAAACTACACAAACCTTGAGATGTGACACGTTATTCTGCAATGAGCCTGCCTCAGGTCATAGGGCTAGAAGCTGAGTAGGTGTGGGAGTCAGTCAAATAAGCAATAAGGCTCACCTGTGGTTTTAACTATTATACTGTCCTGTTTTGCACAGATTCTTTTTTTATTTATTTTTTTTTTAAAGTTTTTCGCTATAGGGCGCATGTGCTCGCCAGATAGACAGAGAGAGACATAGAGACAGAAAGTGAGAAATCCCCCCCCAAGGGGGATGGTCACGCCGCAGTCCCTTCTCCTCCATTCTCCTCTCGGGATCTTGGGCACGCACGCACACGCGCCTGGCGTGAGTTTTAAGCCACCGGGTCCGGGACTTGAACTGCGGTCGACTACGTGGGAGTCCAGTGACATAGCCATTTCGCTAACTGCTGGTTCCCCACAGATTCTTATGGAATGTTGGAAATATTGCCACCATTTAATTTTTCTCTTTTTTTTCCCTGGTGCATATGGTTAAGTCTATGTGACTTGGAAGTGAAAATAGAAGAACTACTGTATTGAAAAGTTACAAAGCCAATACAAGATGACACATGCCAAATAGTTAAAATATCTTGTTTTATTGTTTCTAAGACATGTTTTACACGTTTTAACATCTCTAAAATCAGAATGCATCCTAAAATCAATGATAAGATCATATTTTAAACAGGCAGCATTTTTCACATAAAATAAGTATGTGAAGTAAGGCATATGTTAATTGGTTTGATTTAGCCATTCTACAGTGTGCACGTAAACATGTGATAAATGTATATAATTTGTATTTGTTACTTAAAAATTAGGCTAAACCAAATGGGTAGCATTTTTTTCTTTCTTGGTGGTGCATAAAATAACTGCATATTATAGTCAATGCTAGCCAATAGATTCAAAATCCCATATGTAGGGTTTATCTATAACCTATTTGAAGCTAGAGGCCCTTGTTTATACACATCAGCCAACTACATTGGAGATTTTTGTTTTTAAACCGTAAGACCTGATCTTGCCCATTTTTTCCTTAAAGTTTACTTTCCTTATTTTGAGCATGTAGATAGACTGAATTTGTATCTAGTATCTATCAGGAATAAATTATATATTTTGCTTAAATAAATAATTACTTTTAATTTTTTAGGAAGAAAATTCTCGGAAAAGAATCCTGTGTCCTTTAGATCCAAAACAGTACGTATGGATTAAATAAGGGTTTTTTCAGGGCCAGCAGATGGTGTGATGGTTAAGGTGCTGGACTCCCACATGGCTGACCACAGTTCAAGTGCCAGACCCGGCAGCCTGAAAGTCACCCTGGATACTGTGCATGCCCAAATTCCTGAGAAGAAAATGGAGGAGAGGGGATTGGAGTGTGACCATCCCCTCTGGGGGATAATTTCTCACTGTCCCTCTCTTTGTCTCTCCCTGGTGAGCTCATGCATCCTATGACAAAATACCTAAAAAAGGGGGCGGGATATTTTTCTGCTGAAAATGGTAATTGTCACAAATCTCATTTTAAATAATTTTCTCTTTAAATTTAGCACAGTATATGAAGATCAACTGACAAAGCATTTGAAAAAATGTAACTCAAGAGAAAAGCCGAAACCTGTAAGTGTTTGATTAGTAAAATTGAATGGGTAAATGTGTGGTATATAATGTTTATGTATACTTAGTAGATTACAAATGTGAATACATAACCAGACTTAACTTTGCCTCTAGGCTTAAATTTGCTAAATGCACTTGAATGTGTACAGGGTATCAAACTATAAATCCACTTATAGTTCTAATTCACAGAACAGAATCTAATGCAACACGAATATTGTTCAAAGAATAATGTCAATCTTTACTGAAAAATATTTACTTAGTTCCTACTAAATTTATTGCAATAAGCCATGATGGCAACTACAATCCTAATCTTCAAGGAATTTAAGGCTAGTAAGTAAACTTGTAAGTCAGGGATATGTGTTTTGCTTTTGTTTTCATTTGTGTTAATTTTGCTGTAAGCTTGTGCACTCACCAGAAAGAAAGAAACAGAGAGAAAAAAGTAAGAAATCACCTTCAGGGGAGGATGGCCATGCTGCAATCCCTTCTTTGGGAGTTTTGAGCATCCATGCACACTCAAACACACCTGGTCTGATTTTCAGGCTGCCGTGTCCAGGACTTGAACTATGGAGTCAGCTATGAGGGAGCCAGCTACTTTAACCTCCATCCAACTGCTGACACCAGTTAGGTTTTGTTTTGTTTTGTTTTGTTTTAATTATTTTATTTATTTATTTTTAAATTTGGTACAGGGTGCATGCACTTACCACAAAGGGACAGAGAGAGAGAGGGGAAGCGAGGAAATAAGCTGCCAGGCCTGGGACTCAAACCACAGTCAGCTATGTGGGAGTTTGGCGCCTTAACCACCATGCCACTTACTGGCCCCACGAATCTTTTTAATAAAGTCAGTGAAAGAAGTAAGCACAATGTGATAAGAACATATACTTATATCAGATTTTAAAATTAAATCCAACGAGTTATGAAAGGCTTCCTAGAGGATATAACACATTACTCACTGCACAACAGGCAGCATGAGCTTGTTTGCATCAATTTCCTATGATCTCCAAGGCCCACAGACAATCCTGGAAGCTGGGGACAGGGTCATGGGAGATCAGGCTGATGGATGCCAAATAAGCAGTGAGTTTGTGTCCTAACTGAGGAACCCCACATTCAGGAAATACGATTTTTTTTTAATTGGGCAGTAAATAAACCACCTGACCTCAGTCCCATAAACAGACATTTTCTTCTTATCCTATACAACAGGTAAGCCTGCCATGTGATCTAGAGGGAGACACCATTACTTCTAAGGGTACTTGATTTAAAAATGACGTTGCAGGGCCAGCAGGTGGTGTGATGGTTAAGGTGCTGGACATTCCCACATGACCGACCACGGTTCAAGTCCTGGCTTGCCTTTGCACTTTCCCTCTTTCTTTTTCTCTCTGTATCTCTCTGTGGTCAAATTAAATGAATGGATAAATACAATTAAATAAACAATTCGTAGGAAAAAAATAAATAAAATTAAAATGACCTTGAAAAGATAGTCTGGGGCAAAGGTAGTCAGTCCCTCTGCTTGTAAGTCTTATAGTAAATTGAGACGTGGGAAAATTATGTTCTGCTCTCACCTCTCAGTCATATTAACAACAAAATACTACCGTACATTTCCAAATGCCTCCAAGTCAACAACCACTAGGCTAGATGGCATCATTTTAAAGACAGTTACATTGGACAGCGGGTGATATGGAGGATAAGGTGCTAGATCCCACATAGCCGAGTGTGCAGTTCACGTATCAGACCTAGTGGCTTGAAAAATGCACTGGATGCATGTGAATGTGTGCCCAGAATCTCAAGAGGAGAATGTAGAAGATGGGATTGTGCCATGGCCATCCTCCTCCCTGGTGGCTGATTTCTCACTTCCTCTCTCTCCTGTGTCTCTGGCGAGTGCACATACCTTATAGTAAAAAAAAATGTTTATTTGGTAACTACCTCACTAGAATATAAGATCTATGAATTCAGCTGTTTTGTTTGTTTCATACCTAGTTTTGGAGAATTCCAAGCACTAAAAGCAAACCAGGGACTGTAGCAGTTATTTAATGAATAAGTGACTAGAAAGAAGGGAGGATTGCAGCTGCAGAGTATGGGATGAAAGAATTAGCTTTACTGTTTAATGTTTGTGAGCTTCACATTAATATTCGATTTTATTTTTAAGGATTTCTTTATTCAGGATATTAACGCAGGCTTAAAAGATGAAACAGAAATACCCGAACAATTAGTAAGTATACTGATTTAATATTTAATTGTAATGAGCATTTATAAGCTATTTATCATGTTATAAATAAGCCATGCTCTAGTTTTCATTTAGAATAAATCTATTGTTTTAGATTTATTCTAAATCTAAATTTAGTTTGCATTTACCTTTGGATTCCAGACCACTTCATTCCCCATAAAAAAATCAAGCTACAAAATGGCCCTGAGTCTCCTTTGATTCTTGAACCCTTGTGAGCCTGGATTTATTCATGAGGCTGAGGAAGTTAGAAGAATTAAAGGAACATGGCAGAGACTGGGGAGAGGCTTAGCTGTTGGGTGATGTCATTGAAAGCTTAGGAAATAGGGTTTATCAGAAAGAAGAGCCTAAGTGGCCATGGGAATTGCCCAACTGTTAGTCTTCTACTCCATTTCTGTCATGATGCTTTAAAACATTTTTGGATACAATATTTAGTTTTATTTTTGCATGTAGGTACCAATTTCTTCTCTATCTGAAGAGCAGTTGGAAAACTTAATTAAGAAGTTGAAAAAAGCCAGTGAAGGTAAGTCTGCCCAGAGTAACAAGGTAAATTATTTCCAAGTGCAGATTCAGTATTCCTTATCTGAATTACTTGGGACCAGAAGTGTTTTGGATTTCAGATTTTGGAATATCTGCAATTTCAAATGAGATATCTTGAGGATGGGACCCAAGTTTTAAAAAAAAAATTCATTTAAGTCTTGTACATACCTTACAAACATAACCTGCAGGTCATTTTATATAATATTTGCAACAATATGTGACCCTCTGCATGAGATGAGGTGTGGAATTTTTTAGCTGAAGCATTATGTTGGTACTCAGAAAGTTTTAGATTTTGGAACATTTTTTATTTTTAATTTTTTTTGGGCGGGGGAGAGGTTTTTGCTATAGGGCGTGTGCGCTCACCAGACAGACAGAGAGAGACATAGAGACAGAAAGCGAGAAATCACCCCCCCAGAGGGGATGGTCACGCCGCAATCCCTTCTCCTCCATTCTCCTCTCGGGATCTTGGGCACGCAGGCACACGCGCCCAGTGTGAGTTTTAAGCCACTGGGTCCGGGACGTGAACCGCGGTCGACTACGTGGGAGTCCAGCGACATAGCCATTAAACTAACTGCTGGTTCCCACATTTTGGATTTTTGTATTAGGAATGTTCAACCTGTAATTAGGTGATATATGAGTTAATATTTTCTGGTTTAAAAGATGCTACTACCATTGTTTAGAGTTTTATAGTTTCCTATTTCAGTATTTAAGCTGTCATGCTTATATTTGGCACAGGTTTCAATTCGTCACTTAAAGATTGTGTTATGTCCCACCCAGCATTACACGATGCCCTTAATGACCCTAAAAATGGGGATTCTGCAACCAAGCATCTGAAACAGCAGGTATGTTTAGGCCACAGTAACTCTTCTGAAAATGGCCTTCGTTCTTTTGTTAAGTAGCTAACATAATTTTTTTTAATATAGTTAATGGAATTTTATTTCATTTATCTTTCAAAGTGCAAAATATTTTCATTTCAATAGTATGTATGAATTTATGGGGGGATCTTCAAAAAGTTCATGGCAAACGCATATTATGAAAACATTATGTATAGATTTAAAATTTATTTTGCACCAACATAAACTTATACTTTAATTCCATTTTCCCGTGATCTTTATTTTATTTTTTTTAAGTTTTTGTCATAGAGCATGTGTACTTGCCAGAGAGAGACAGAAACAGAGAGAGGGAAAGTAAGAAATCACCCCTCAAAGGGGATGGCTGCTCCATAGTCCCATCTCCACCATTCTTTTCTTGGGATTTTGGGTATGTGCACACATGTGCCCAACACAATTTTCAAGCCACCAGGTCCAGACTCGAACTGTGGGGTCAGACATGTGGGAGCCAGTGCCTTAACCTCCACGCCACTTGCTGGCCCCTTTCCATGATCTTGTTGAAGTCCTTTCATATATAAAAATATTTTTGCATGTAATGTTCTGAGTACTGAGTATCAAGTATATAAATACTAAGTGTATATTTATTTATTTTTTTAATTTGACCAGAGAAACAGAGAGAGAGAGGGAAAGTGAGAAAGCAAGCCACCAGGTCTGGGACTCAAACCTTAACTGGCCATGAGGGAGTCTAGAGCCTTAACTACCATGCCACATGCCGGCCTCAGTACTGAGTATATTTTAAAGCAAAGAAAAAAGTTTAAGTCAAATATAAATTATGAATATAAACATACTGCCTTATGTAGAAGTTATCATGCTATTTTCTATTTTCCCATTTGAGCCAAATGTGTTTGCTCTAGTTTATAAAATAATCTCGTGAAGTTTGCAGGCTTCTATTTTAGGTAACATTGAAAAATTAAAGTTACTTGGTCCAAGAAGATGCTTTGTTGAGTTTGGAGCGGGAAAGGGAAAATTATCTCATTGGGTTGATATTGCCTTAAAAGATGCTGAAAAAGTTCACTTCATCCTAGTAGAAAAGGTGACTACAAGATTCAAGGTAAGTGAAACCACTCTATTCTATTAGTAACAACATTGATTTGCATTTTTCTGATTTAGAAGAAAAATGATAGAAATGAGTTCCTTAAAGAAACTATATAGATGAATTTCCTTTTTTGTATTTTTTTTGTCAGTTTAATTGTATTGGTGACTTAAACTGAAGGTGAATTTTTAAAATTAAATTTCAATAGTCCATTGATATGTTTTTCTGAAAACTATTTGCAAAGACAGGAAAATATGTGGAATGAGCCAAGTTCAAGAGAGGGGTTGAAAGTCTTTGGTCTTTTCCCTACCTTTCCCGTATACTAGCTGGTCATTTAGTAAACAATTATTGAGCATACTGCCAGGCACCATGACAGACATTAAGCATGTAAAGTCAGATAAGATAGGTACCTGTGCTCTACTCCTTTTGTTCAAAAAGGAGAGACAGGCACATAAATAAATGACTATAGTAAAATGTTGAAATAGGAAAAAGTCCACACAGAATGCAGTGTGGGTTCAAAGAATAAAAGGCTTTTTTTGCTCAGAAGGAATGGAGAAGACTACATAGAAGAGATGATATGCCTTAGCTAAATTTAGAAAGGTCAATTCATGTGTGCTAGATGGAAGGTTTGAAAAGCGCTCTAGGAAGCAAGAACAGTGTAACCAAATGCTTGAAATGACATGAATACATGGAAACACTTCCATGCGATGGGAGTATATGGCACAAGGTAGAGCTCAGCAATGGCAGGACTGGAGAGGAGGGTAGCCTATGGAAGGTTTCATACTTTCTGCTCAGAAAAGTGTGTGCCTGATCCTGCGGAGTACTGAAGATATAGTGGAAACAAGATTTAGTTCTTGCCTTTCAAGAAGCCTACATGTCATGAGAAGGCTTGTAATTTTGATTCAAATACTAAGTGTGTTGTGTTGATGGTAAATCCCTGGTATCTGAGAGCAGAACAATAGAGCACTGACCTCAATCTAATGTGGATCATGAAGGTTTCATGGAGTGAGTGACAGTTGAAAGAAGATAAAAGACTATATAAGAGTTGGTGAAGTAAAAAAGGATTTTAAAAGTTTATGCTAACACCACCATAAAACTGTACTAGAAGAGGGCCTGTCCTACAACGCAGTGGTTAAGTGCAGTGTATTAGGAGCTGGAGCCCAAATGGCCAACTACTATTCAAATCCTAGCCCTGGTGGCTTGGAAAACATGGCTGACATATGTGTGCATGCCAAAATCCTGATGTTAAGGAAGAATGGAGAAAAAAGGATTGCAGTATGACCATGCCCTAATGGGGAGTGGGCCCCTCTCTCTCTCTCTCTCTCTCTCTCTCTCTCTCTCTCTCTCTCTCCCTCTCCCTCCCTTTCTCCCGCTCCTTTTCCCTTAACCAGCCCTCTGTCTCTCTGGCAAGCATATGCACAGTCTGATGATTGAAGAAAAATATAAATAAAAATTAAAATGATATCAGAACAGTCAGACTTAAAATAGGAAGATGAATAATAATTTTAACCCTTTTTTTAAAAGAAATATTTTTATTTAATTTTTTTGAGAGTTTTTTGTTTGTTTGTTTGTTTGTTTGTTTGTTTTGCTATAAGGTGTGTGTGCTCACCAGAAAGACAGAGAGACAGAAAGTGAGAAATCACCCCCCAGGAAAGATGGCCATACTGTGATCCTTTCTCCTCCATCCTCCTCTTGGAATTTTGGGCACGCATGCACATGTGCCCAGCATAAGTTTAAGCCATCAGGTCTAGGACTCAAACTGCAGTCGACTACATGGGAGTCCAGTGACATAGCCATTATGCCACCCCACCTGCTGGTCCCTATTTTTTATTATTATTTGTTTTAACTTGACCAGAAAAAGTGAGAAAGCAAGCTGCTGAGTCCAAGACTTGAACCGCAGTCAGCCATGTGGGAATCCAGTGTCTTTAACCACCACACCACCTGCTGGTCCTGATGAATAATAATTTTTAAGTGTATTTATTTTTTTCTCAAATGAATGAGAGAGACACAGAGAGTAACAGAGAGGTAGTTCTCCCAATAGGGTTTGACCCTGTGATCCACTCCCAGCTTCTGCCAGTTCTGGATCAACACATATGCCTGGTATACTCAAGTAGGTCTGTGTACACACACTCACAACCTTCCCACGTGGGTCAGCCTCACAGAGTGTAGTGTCTATCTTATTTTGCCCCCAAAATAAGATAAATTTTATCCAAAAATCCTAGTAAGAAATGGACCAATGCTGAGACTATTGAAGTGGGATGGAGAGGAGGGCAAGAGTATGAGAAATAAGATGTTGGAAGCTGCAAGACTCAGTGACTTATCACTCATTGAATATGAAAGAGAAGGAGAAATCTGGAGTGATAAAAATAATACGTATATGTATATTTTAGGGAAATTTTTGCTATAGGACATGTGTCCTTGCTGGAGATATATAGAGAGACAGAAAGCAAGAAATCATACCTGCCGTGGTGGGATGGTCACACTGCAATCCCTTCTCTTCCATTCTCTTCTCGAGATTTTCGGCATGCACACAGACACACCCTGCATGCGTTTTAAGCCCCAAGATCCAGGACTTGAACTGCCGTTGACTACATGGGAGTCCAGTTCCTTAACCACTACACCATCTGCTGGTCTCTGGAATAATATTTTTATGGCCTAAGTAATTAAATGGCACTATCCCCCAAGATAGGGAATAAAGGAGGAGGAAGAGAAAGGATAGATTTGGAGAGGAAAATAATGAGTTTAGTTCAGGATATACCCAGTTTGCTATTGAATTAGAACTTTCTAGTTCATAATTAGGTATGCTTATCAGAGATATCTGAGCCAAAAAGTAGATCTATAAATCATAGGCATTTGGGTACCTAGACTAGAATGGTTGTGATTCTTCAGTGACCAAGTAGAGTGTGCCAGAAGTAATATACTAGGGGTAACAAAGATAATGAAACTGGCAAATAATCTTATATTAAGTTACTGTCTGTTAAACCTCAGGTCTTTCACTGGTGAGTTGGGAATTTTTAGGTAAAAAGGAAATAATATATACATAGTAATTGATAATATTTTCAAATCTTATAGAAATGTGTGGTATTATTTTGGAGCATTCATCAGTACATGTATTGTGTCATCAGAAAAGTCATGACTGATTTTTACGTAGAAAATGACTTTTTCAACAACCCAGGACTATCAAATTTTTTTTATTTATTATGTTTTTTCATACTAAAAATAAGATGAAAATTTATTTGACCTGAGTTTTGAACACAAATTTTTAAATTTTTATAAATTTAAAAACTCATTTTTACAATATTCTGTTTGTGCAGGTAGATGGTAAACACAGAAAGAAAAATTCAGTGTTTGAAAGACTTCAAATTGATATTCAACACTTGTGTTTGAGTAAGTTGCATGGTTTTTCCTTTGCTTTGTCATAAACCATATAAGTTTCTAACTCTGAGGGTTGCTTAGAAATCCAGTCATGCAGAACAGTACTTAAGGAAAAATAAACTGGAAGAGCGATGTTAATATAGAATCCTGGGCCAGCAGGTGGCATGGTGGTTAAGGGCGCCGGACTCCCACATGACCGACTGCAGTTCGAGTCCCGGACCTGGCAGCTTGCTTTCTCACTTTCCCCCCCTCTCTCTCTCTTACTCTGTCCCTCTCTGATTAAATTAAAATAAATTAATAAGTAAAATTAAATAAAACAATTCTTTCAAAAATATGGAATGTTGGGACCAAGCAGTTAGCGTAATGGCTATGTCGCTGGACGCCCACATAGTCGACCGTGGTTCGTGTCCCGGACCCGGTGGCTTAACACTCACGCCGGGCGCGTGTGCGTGCGTGCCCAAGATCCCGAGAGGAGAATGGAGGAGAAGGGATTGCGGCGTGACCATCCCCCCGGGGGGTGATTTCTCGCTTTCTCTCTCTCTGTCTGTCTGGCGAGCGCACGCGCCCTACAGTGAAAAATCTCTCCAAAAAAAAAAAAATATATGGAATGTTAAATATACATTGGATTACGATTAAAATTTTATTTTATTTTATTTTATTTTATTTTATTTTATTTTATTTTATTTTATTTTATTTTATTTTATTTTATTTTATTTTATTTTATTTTTTGGAGAGGTTTTTGCTATAGGCTGTGTGCACTTGCCAGAAAGACAGAGAGAGAGACAGAAAGCGAGAAATTACCCTCTGGGGGGATGGCCATGCCACAATCCCTTCTCCATTCTCCTCTTGGGATCTTGAGCATGCACGCACATGCACCAGTGCAAGTTTAAGCCGCCAGGTCTGGGCCTCAAACTGCAGTCAACTACATGGGAGTCCAGTGACATAGCCATTATACCAACTGCTGGTCCCAAGGGTTAAAATTTTTAAAAATTGTTTTTCAGTATCAGTGGAAATGAATATTTTATTAGAGAAGAGTTTAAAAGTTCTGATAATATGAGTTATCCAGGTGGCATAGTGGTTAACAGTTCAAGTCCCAGGCCTGGCAGCTTGGAAAATACACTAGGTGTATGTGCATGTGTGTCCAAACTCTTGATAGGAGAAGGGATTGTGGCATGGCCATCACACCAGGGGGTGACTTTCACTTTCTTCCCTTTTTTCTCTCTCTCTCTGGCTCACGCACTCTATAGCAAAACAAAAACAGAATCAGTTTTGATAATATGTACTTACGTTGCTTTTTTGTTGTGTTTAAATTAATGTTGAGTGTATTCATATCATAAATTGGGCTTCTGCCTATAGGGTTTTTTTTATTTTTTTATTTTATTTTTTTCTTTTTTTGGAGAGGTTTTCACTATAGGGCATGTGCGCTCACCAGACAGACAGAGAGAGACATAGAGACAGAAAGTGAGAAATCACCTCCCTGGGGGGATGGTCACGCTGCAATCCCTTCTCCTCCATTCTCCTCTCGGGATCTTGGGCACGCACGCACACACGCCCGGCGTGAGTTTTAAGCCACCGGGTCCGGGACGCGAACCATGGTCAACTACGTGGGAGTCCAGCGACATAGCCATTACGCTAACTGCTAGTTCCCGGCTTCTGCCTATAGTTACCATGACTTCCTTAAACTAGTAAAGAAAATGAAATAATTCTTTTTTTTTTTTTGGAGAGGTTTTTGTTTTGTTTTGTTTTTTTGTTTTTTGTTTTTTGTTCGAGAAATCAATAGGGCGCGTGTGCTCCACCAGACAGACAGAGAGACAGAAAGCGAGAAATCAACCCCCAGGGAGGATGGCCACGCTGCAATCCCTTCTCCTCTGTTCTCCTCTCAGGATCTTGGGCATGCACACACATGCACCCGGCATCAGTTTTTGTTTGTTTGTTTGTTTGTTTGTTTTGAGAGGTTTGGTGGTTTTTTTTGTTTTTTGTTGTTTTGTTTTTGCTATAGGGCACGTGCGCTCACCAGACAGACAGAGAGAGACATAGAGACAGAAAGCGAGAAATCACCCCCCCAGGGGAGATGGTCACACCACAATCCCTTCTTCTCCATTCTCCTCTCGGGATCTTGGGCACGCACGCAAACGTGCCTGGCATGAGTTTTAAGCCACCGGGTCCGGGATGCGAACTGCGGTCGACTACATGGGAGTCCAGTGACATAGCCCTTACGCTAATTGCTGGTTCCCCGGCATGAGTTTTTTAAACCACCGGGTCCGCAACACGAACCGCAGTCAACTACATGGGAGTCCAGCAACATAGCCATTACGCTAACTGCTGGTTCCAAAAAAATGAAGTAATTCTCTGCCTAGGTAATATGTAAAAAATATTTTCCAGAATCATAAATTGTACCAAAGGAAATACGTCATCACTGTGTGTTCCATACACACACAAATCCCTCATTCCTTTAGTGCCTTTTCTATACCTTTTCTATAGTTTTTCATATTATTTAGTAAGGAAATAATGCAAACATATACCAGCAGCCTCTTCCATAACTTCTTTATTATTATTTTACTTAAATTTTTATTTATTTATTTTTAATTTGACCAGAGAGGGACAGAGAGATTGGGAAGGTGAGAAAGTAAGCCACCAGGGCTAGGACCCAAACCTCAGTTGGCCATGTGGGAGTCCAGCACCCCTAACCACCACATCATCTGCCAGCCACTTCCATATAGTAATTTTAATTAAGCCCTTAGAAGCAACTCAGCAGTTGTGTATCAATCACTGTACTTAAAATTATTTAACTGAATATATTACTTTCTGTTGTCATAAGCATTGAACAAGTTGTTATGTTACATGTTGAATTCTATAAAGTAAGAACTTCTTGTTTGAGTCTCTTTCAGCCCTAAAATTCAAAGATCTAAGTAGTTCTTTTGGAAGGCTAGGTTAATAGAGGAACCTTAATTCTCGTTCCTTTTATTTCAGATAAGATTCCTGTACTAAAAGAAGGAAAACTACCTGTGGTAGGAATTGGAAAGCATCTGTGCGGTGTGGCAACAGGTGTGTAAACACACTCTTAAGATCTAAATTCACATGTTAAATTTTAGCTTACACGACTCCATTTATTTTAGTAGACTCTTTCAAATTGTTTAGATTTCTTATGTTTGCAACTTATTAATCTTTGTAGTAGTCTGGGCCCTTCTTTATGGTAATTATAGAACTTTCCTGTCTACCTGCTCATGTTGAACATTTTGCAAGATGAAGTAAGAGTTTTGTGCCATGTGGCATCTTAAAGTTCTTAAGGTCCAGTTTCAAGGAAAAAAACATAAACAAATCATTTATAAAAACTATGATTCTACCTCAGATGCTACTGATTTTTTAGAGTAGTTGCTTAGGAAGAATTCTGTCTGAAAACTCTACCACTAAGAGGTTATTATTATGTTTCAGGATTCTGGAGAAAAAAATTAATTTTAGCCCAAAAGATCCAAGATGTTTTGTCTTAGCACTTCTGTTCATCAGATTAGATCTATTAATAGCATGTAAAGTGGAAATTTTAGAATCAGATAGTCTGTCTTTCAGCTCTTCCATATAAATTTGGCAAATTACTTAACCTTTCTGAGCTTTGATTTCCTCATCTGTAAAACAGGTATGCAGTGGGAACCCAGTAAGTGGCATAATGGTTAAGGAACTGGATTCTCACATGGCCAACTGCCGTTTGAGTCCCAGACCTGGTGGCTTGAAATTGACAATGGCCTACAGGATAAAGTCCGAGTTCTTTAACATAGTGTTCTAGTCTCAGTTGGTTATCTACCTTTGTCTTTTTCCATTTGTTGTCTCTGGCTTTAATGTTCAACAACATCAAGCCCTGTCTACTTTTCCATATATCATACTGTTTTACTATAACCAAAATTCCACCCATCCATCCAATCACTCAAACTAACTGGAAAATGTCTACACATCCTTATGCTCAGTTGTTACCACTTTCAGGTAACCTTCTTACATAATTAGTGATATCAAATTATTCTCTGCATATCTACCTTATTGCATTTTAATCATCTGTCTACATATTTAATTATTCTACTGTGCTGTGAATTTTTTAAGAATTGAAATACACTAATACAATACTCGGTAGTACAAAACGTAGTTAATGTTTAAATGGATAATCTTGGCTACCAATTGCTGTTTCCTTGACCCTTTCTAGGTTTGTGACTTTGTTCCTTAAATTCTTTATAAAGAAGGGGTCAAGATAGATTGCTAAAGCTCTTTCTAATTCTGAAATAACTAAATTCCTTTAGAAACTTTTCTAGTGTTTCACATTTTTGATAATCATTTACTTAAGTCAAAAATGAATAAAACAGGGACCAGCAGTTGGGGTAATGGCCATGTTGCTGGACTCCCATGTAGTCAACCGTGGTTCGAGTCCCTGACCCAGTGGCTTACACTCCCACCAGGTGCGTGTGCATATGTGCCCAAGATCCCGAGAGGAGAATGGAGGAGAAGGGATTGCGGTGTGGCCATCTCCCCTGAGGGGTGATTTCTTGCTTTCTGTCTCTCTGTTTCTCTCTGTCTTTCTGGCGAGCGCATGCGCCCTATAGCAAAAATCTCTCCCCCCCAAAAAAATAAAGTGAATAAAACAGTAAACGAATATATCTTCTCAGACAATAATTGCTTATGAAATATAGATTAGCTATCACTTTCTCTAAATAATGCTGCTAAACAATGTTTGTTGACTTAAATTCCTATGTTGAATTAAATTTGTTGATGAAGGGGCCTGGACTCCCATGTAGTTGACTGTGGTTCAAGTCCTAGACTCCGGACTCATGCTGGGTACATGTACATACATGCACAAAACCCCAAGAGAACAATGGAGGAGAAGGCATTGTGGCATGGCCATGATTTCTTGTTTTCTGTCTTTTGGTCTGTGTCTTTCTGGCAAGTATATGTTCCCTACAGCAAAACACTCTTTTAAAAAAAATTACTAGTGAAATAAAGATCAATTAATGTTTACTTGTGACATTTTAGGGGAACAAATTTTTTAAATATTTATGTTTTCGGTTGAGGAGATACAGTGTGACGATCTAATCAGACAAAGTATGGATTTCACAGTTAAGATCTTTCCAATATTGTCAACATTGGGAATAGCCTTTTCAATGGGAAGTAGCCATGGTCATTGAAATCTGTTTGTTAGGGCTGACTCTACAAGTGATAGTTAAGGCAACCCCATCCCACGTGGCCAACCTTGCAGTTGGAGTCCTGGTGGCTTGAGAAATAGTGTGTGTATGCTTGCCCAAAATCTCAAAATGAAATGGAGATGGGAAGAGAAGGGATTCTTGCATGACCATTCCCATGGTGGGTACTTTTTTTTCTTAATCTCTCTTTGTCTCTGGCAAACACACGTCCTCTAGTGGGGAAAAAAAAAAACATATCTTTGCTTTTTTTTTTTTTTTGAGAAGTTTTTTTGCTATAGGGCGCATGCACTCGCCAGAAAGACAGAGAGAGACAGAGAGACAGAAAGCGAGAAATCACCCCCCGGGAGGATGGCCATGTCGTAATCCCTTCTCTTCCATTCTCCTCTTGGGATCCTGGGCATGCATGCACATGCACCTGGCATGAGTTTAGGGCACCAGGTCCTGGACTCAAACCGCAGTCGACTATGTGGGAGTCCAGCAACATAGCCATTACACCAACTGCTGGTCGCTCATATGCTTAAATTTAAAATATACTGAATGTCTTTCATGTCAAGTAGAGTATGTGCACCTCTAAGTTTGCATTATTAGTCATTACTACATCCTCATTGTTTTTATTTTTTTAACTATTTTTTGTATTATTGTATTATTTTGTATTATTTAACTTTATTTATTTATTTTTAATTTGACTGGAGACAGACAAACAGAGAGAGAGAGAGAGAGAAAATGAGAAAGCAAGCCACCAGTCTGGAACTCGAACTGTGAACAGCCATGTGGGAGTATCCAGCGTCTTAACCACTATGCCAGCCACTGGTCCCCATCCTCATTGTTTTTCATATATAGAAAGGTATTTAGTAAATACTTACTGAATGAAAATGTAAATAGTAAGGCTGTTTAGTGAGGCTTACTTTGCACATTCAGACCCCCTCTTCTCTTCAGCTCTTCACTGTTTGCTATAAACATCTTACATTTCAAGACTAGCATTTTGACAAAGTATCAGCTGCAGCAGAGCTGCCTTTCTTCTTTTTTCACTGGGTTTCTGAAGCTCAAAACTCCTCCAAAATGTAAGCGTAGGTCAATTTTTTCTATGTAAGTCATTTCCTCAGCCAGGGTAGCAGAAATGTAGACAACTCAAGTAGCTTCATTGCATTCAGATTGTATTGGGTCATCAGAAAAGTCATGATGCATTTTTGTATGTAAAAACATGTTTTTACATACTGACAACCCAGTACATCTTAAGTTTCAGATAGTTTTATTGGGAAGTAGGCTTTAGATAGAACAAATCATTCGAGAAGGTACTAAGAAAAGAACAAATTTGAACCAATTTGCTTGTTCATGATAGAATTATGACAAGTATAAAGCTAAGTAGGCTTTTGTTGTGGGTTTTTGAAACCCGTACTGCTTAATAAATTAAAAAAAAAAATTTTTTAAAGATGATGTGGTTCGGGGGGGCACATAATTGTGTTTGCAGATCTTGCATTACGATGTTTGATTGAAACCTATGCTGCCAATTGTGAGGAAAGGAATGAAGAACCTTTAGCCAAACGCGTAAAGAATGATAAAACAGACACAGAAATTAACTCTTTGGCCAAGGAAGGAAATGAAAAAAATGTCCCAGAGAAGTGGACCCCTGTGGCTGGCATTGTTATTGCACTCTGTTGTCACCACAGGTGTGATTGGAGACATTATGTTGGCAAAGAATATTTTAGGGCGTTAGGCCTTGGAGCACTGGAATTTCACTATTTCCAGCGAATGAGTAGTTGGGCAACTTGTGGAATGCGGAAAACATCTTTGGATGCTTCAAATATTACCACAAGGAGAAGCGATCATCAGAACGATGATAGTGAAGAACATGAAGATGGAGGATATAGGATCATAGATGACAGTGCTACTAGTTTGCCTGGGTAAGTGATTATTCTTGTAATATACAACGCTTAAGGAGAAATACTTGATTGTTGCTTTACTTTCTTTTTGGATGACTAGCAGCAATTCATATATGAAAATATATTTTATCATCTAATTTTAGAGTAAGTTAAAACACAGATTTTCTTTATGGTCATAAATGTGAAGTGTCTTGGAAGCATAGTACATAGCACCTAGTATATTGTGGATTACTAGCAATTTTTTTTTTTTTAATAAACAGCTACTAAAATAATTTTTACAAACTTTCACAAAATTTTTACAATGTTTTGTGTGTATTCAATTTAGGCTTCTTACTGTTGAAGAAAAGAAGAAAATAGGACAGCTTTGTAAACTGCTGATTGACCAAGGCCGAATCCAGTATTTACAGCGGAAGGGATTCAGTCCTGCTTTACAGTACTATACAGACCCTTTAGTATCATTGGAAAATGTGTTGTTAACTGCTTTACCAAATCATTCTTCATCACCAGAAACAACTGCCTAATGGAAAAGAAATGTAAACATCATCCATTTTCCACCAAAAGAATTTTTTATTATATTTTTATACTCATGAAAATATAATTTAGCAGATAATAAGAACTTTAAAAATGCCGTGGCCTCATTAAACATTGACAATAGCTTTGGTCTTTACTTCAGAAATCCAAACTTTAGAGAATCCACCAAATTCCCAAAGTAATCCTTTCCAGCTAGACATCTTGAATTATGTTATCCAGTGGTATTTATGGAAGTTGGTAAAGTAGTCGAACTGTTGGCTTGGTGATCTGAAATACACATAACATATCAACATGTACTTAGCATATTTATATTAACTTTCTATTTACATTAGTTTTGGAAACTTATTTTCCTTTGGCTTTATTTCATATTGTCTACTTCCTAAGTTCAAGATGTCATGATCTACTGACAGTTTATAATAAGGGCCAATCAGAATTTGGCCTACATGTGGATTTTTTTCCATGCAAATCTGGAAAAGATAATCAATTGTGATTTTTCTCATGTACAAACAAATGCAGAGGTGTTCACAATCAGTTAATGAAATCACAGTCCAATTTCCAGAGCCATGCCTACACTTATATATTATCAGACTTTGTCCATGACAAACATCAAAAGAAATTTTTTCAAGGGAAAAAAAAATTGTTTCATTTTTTTTGATTGAGTATTATCTAATTAGAACTTTCATAAAGATCATAATTTGTAATACATAATTCACGTATCAAATTTGACATTTACAAATGACTCCAAATGACTTCTGAGATTATTCAGGTATCTGATAGCTTTTACCAGGCCATGTTTTGCATATGTAAGTACAAACAATGAGAACGTTCTCTCTCATTTGGGAAAAGCATTTGGAATAAAGTGGAAATGAGATAATGAAACCAAAAACATTCTCACATTTAGGCCTTATTTAACTCATGAGCCATTTCTATGCACAAGCAGATATTAAATCAAACATATAGGACTGTTCATCTCTTCCACATCTGATTCTTGATTTGTTTCTGCTTTTATTTGTAAAAGTTGTCTTAATCATTTGCCAAGATCCAGGACTTTATTGTAATGATATTCTGAGATAACTCTTTTTATCCTATAAGCCTACATTACCTTAATTGTAAACAAGAAGCCTGGCCCATTTTTAATTCTTGACCTTTCTACTTTAGTTGATTCTCATGTCTTTTCAGACTGCCTAGGTTCAAATCCTGACCCTACCACCTATCAGCTATGTGACTTTGAGCAAGCTATTTAATCGCTTTGTGCCTCAATTTCCTCTTAAAATGGGGATAATGATAATACCTACCTCACAAATTTTTTGTGAGCATCAAATGAGATAACACAGGTAAACTACTTAGAACAGCTCAGAGCACAAAGTCCTCAAGATAGTAGCAATAGTAGTAGTAGTTTATGAATCTATTTTAAGAAACATAATAGACTTTGATTTTATTGTTTAAGTTCTTGTCTATATTCTTTTGCTATAATTTTATGTCAAATATTAAAATAAGGTAGTTTAATTGTTTTTTTAATTAGTTTTTCATGCCTCTCAGTCAAGAGAACATAAATGAAGATAATACATCATTCAATAATTAATTTTTATTGTATAAGGTAATGCTAATTTGTGTCATAAAATTTGTTTTGCATCAGTCAACCATTTATGCCCTAAAATAAAATATATTAAACAATGGGCATGATCTCAGTTATGTTTCATAAATCACACATTACACCCAAGAATTATCATAATGATAGAATAAAGTAGCCCATTTAGCTTAATGATTTTTTTGACATTGCTACCAAGTTCCTTATGGAAATATAGTCCTGTCCTACATGTCAACCTTAAATCAAGATTATTGTTTTCCCATTGTTGTTTATCTTTCTCTTCACATTTCATGAGAAAGGAATTATGTGAGATAGGCAATAGCTACTTCTTTCTTTTTCTTTCCTTTTCTTTAAAAAGAATTATTTATTTTATTTGTTGTTATTTATTTTTAATTAAGAAAATGAAATGGGGACAACAGAAATAAGAGAACACGAAATAACTAAGAAAATGACTAACAAAATTGCAGGGGTAAGTCCATAGATATTGACACTAATGTTGAATATTAGTGGGTTGAAATTCTCCAATTAAAAGAAACATGCTGGCTGATGAATAAAAAAATAGGAGCCTTCAGTCTTCCAGCCCAACACCTAGCAAAGCGAGAATCCATGTGCATCTGAGGTGGGCCCAGCCCTGTTCCTTTAACTGAAAAAGCTTCTGCTCCAGACCTCATCTTGCAGCCCAACACCTAGTGAAGCAAGGTAGGGTAGTCTCTGTCTTCTTTCTGTCTCCGTCTCTCTCCTCCATTCTCTACAAATGTTATACACACACACACACACACACACACACACACACACATATATATATTTTTTAATCTGTAAGTACTGTCTCCTATCTCTGACCACTTCTCCTTTATCTTACTAATTTCAGAAACCATGTGCATCTGAGGTGGGTCCAGCACAAGCATCATGCATTTTTTGCCATTTTTTAAAAAATTTTTTGCCTTTCTTTTTTAATTTCCCTTTAATTGTTGTATCTTTTGTCTTTTTCCCTTTGTTACCTTTGTTTTACCTGACTTTCTCACCTATTTCTCAGCTTCCATACATCAACTATCTAGATAGATCTAGGTGCACAGTAGTGAAACATTTGAATACCTTTAGGGTCATAGAAAACCTCAACCCTCACTGAACTGCTACAGAAAGGGAGAAAGTCACCTTCATAAATCTGAATTCAAATCTCTGTGGAAACCACATTGGAAAACACAGTAGTAGAAGAGAAATTGTCATAGAAGTATCTTACAGTAAAGTGAAACATACGAGCTTACAGTTGCAGAAATCTCTAACAAATTAGCCAAACATGAATATAGCATGAAATGACTTAAAATCAGAGAATAGAGACTGCAAAGTGAGCAGCATGGAGAAATACAAAGCTTCAGAGAGAACTCAGCTCATCTCCTCCCACACACCTCTGAACTCTTAGTCAAAACCCCACAGCTCAGCCCAGGTGCACCAGTTCTTCAGAAACTGGGAGGACTTTGTAATATCCAGTTCCACTGACAAAAGAGTAGGTTGCTTGGTGAGAATCAGGCTAATGGATCTACAGAGATATTGCAGGTCATCTCCTCCTGCATGCCTCTATCACTCAGAATGAACTCCAAAAAAGTAGGAAGAAATGTATAATCTCTCAGATGACTAGAAACCACCACAGAGGCACAAGTAATATGGGAAACCAAGACAATATCTCTCCCCCAAGGGGAAAGAACAGCCCTTCATCATCCATGAGCAGTATAATAGAAGTTGTGGCAATGTCAGATAAAGAATTTAGAATATTCATACTAACAGGGATGCAAGAAAAGAGAGACAACAAATTCCAGAAGATGCAGGAAAAAAGAGAATGAGTTCCAGGAGGTGAGGAAGTTTATGCACGATCTGAAAGAGGAAATACACACCATAAAAAAAGGATGAAACAACTATTAGAGATAAAGGCTGTAATACAAGAAATCAAAACCTCCCTTGAAAGTATTAAAAGATTAGATCATGCAGAAGATCAAAGCTCAGATATAGAAGACAGACCTCTGATCTAGTTAAATTAACAACAAAAAAAAGAAGACTGAGAAAATAACCAAAAAAAATTAGAATAATATACTAATAATACTAGATACCATTAGATGCCCAAACATCTGTAAAGTTGGGGATCCCAGAAGGTGAAGAAATTAATCAGGCATTAAAATCTATTCCATGAAATCCTGAAGAAAACATTTCAAACCTAGAAAGGCATTCAAATATCCAGACCCAAGATTGATCAAAACCACAGAAAGAGATAAGATACTAAAATTGGCGAGAGAGAAACATCAAGTTAATTTGAAAGGATATCCCATCAGATTAATGTTGAACCACTCATAGAAAACAATGCAAGCGGCGCGGGAGCTCATGCCCCCGGAGCGGCGGCGCCCCCCCACGCACGAAGGCCCCCG